ACATTAACTGAATCTTGCAAGAGTGAAATTTCACAGCAATTACCATGGACTCCTGGTGACTAACATCATAAGAACTTGAACACAAAACAATATAATTTATAAAGGCACAATAGAATCAGATGATTGTTTATCTGGAGCCATAAAAAAAAAACAGGAAGTGCCTATTGAAGCTTCCTGGAAGAGCTCTGCTTTCACCAGTTTCCATAATGGCAAAAGGCAAGTGCCAACCTAGCATCAAGAAGGAGGCTACTCTCTAAAATAGAAGTCATCCCCAAATGGATGCTTTTGGACTTCAGCCCACCTGGCCTCAGAAAACTGGAGAACCATGAAAAGCTTCTTCTTATCTAGAAGGTACATATCACAAAGAAAAAAAGAAAAGTCAAAGAGTCAGAAGCATCTATAGTTCCAGTAACATCAACTATTACTATTTTTATCCCATTCTGCTTGTGAAGATCTATGTGGTTTGCCCTCTCCAATTCATTTTATGTACAATGCTCCCAGTGAGTTGCAGAAGGTTAAAACAATTGTCAAAAAATCAAATAGTTACTATGGCTTAGCAGGAGGTGCAAAAGCAGTTAATCATGTGAGCCACTAAACTAGTTTAAACATGTGGTTCATGATAATATAGTAAGGAGGCAAATAACTGCTTTAAAATTATGCAGGCTGCAGTTTCAGATCCACTGACCTGAAATAATTCCTTGAATTTAGATATACTTCTGGTGAACATATATACTATTGTTCTGTCAGTAAGTTTTGTGAGCAAATGAGAACTTGGACCCTAAATTCTAATTTAGGCTTCTAACTGTAGTCTACTGTTGTGGCTCAATTCATGTTTAACAAGAATCTTCATATCATAGCACAAATATTAAAGCTTGAGTCTGCTGTTCCAATGCATATATTATCCTTTACTTAAAATGCATACTAATTTGCCCAGGGTAATTTGAATAGCTTAATGTACAATTATTTCTGCATTTACATTTTGCTCTTTCAAAGCCATACTCCATAAAACAGAGTGTGTCATCTTTAAAAGCTATGAAACAGGATTTTTCTCAATTGGTATCTTCATTCCCTTAATTGAACTATTTAACATTCATTCATAGAAGTAACTCATTTGAATAACTGATTTAGTGTATGATTTAATATTCAGCTTTCCTAATATCAAATATATGGTCTTGTTTGAAGACCCAATTTCAGTGGCTACTGGTTCTCCTGTCACGTGCCCTAGAACTTTTAAATAACATTATTTTAAAAGGTAAGTACCTTAGGAAAAAAATTCCAAAATCCAGAATGTAATATATTAGAGCCAAATCAAAATGGTATAAAAGAAATTGTAAATGTTAAAGTTAATTCAAGATACTGAAGTACTATAAAAATGCAAGATCTTTATAGTTTGTTCTTTTATCTCTTGTTTTCATAACATCTTTCTGGTGGAAAGTTTGAAATAATTCAAAAGCTTCCACTACCCTTTGTGATGTCTTGATTATTTGTACATAAGGACTCTTGCTTAGAATCCTATGATGTCATCTATACTCAAGAGCCTAGCATATTTGTTTCTGGCTTGGCTACTATATGTTTGAAAGTAGAGTAACACTACTTTTCTCTTTGAAAACCTACGGCTGTGTGGTATTTCTGAGTAATCAATGGTATAACAGTTACTGTTGTGTCCTGGGCCTGATGAGGCAGCTCAGCAGGCCCAGAAATGTTGCAAATGGTTCCGGGCAACCCAAAAGCTGCCCGGGACCAGACTGGTTGGTGCTGGCCTTGTGCGCAGGCGCAAGGTGCGAATAAAGGGGATTTATGATAGGCTGTTTGGAAAACTATAAAAGGCCTGCGAGCCTGTTGGGTTGCTGAGTGGTAACGTGGAATGAATAAAGGAGAACTTGGCTACATCGTGAGTGTGTGTCGCTTCAATGCCGCGAACCCCAAGACATAAAAGTTACCTTTATCTCAACAACCTACCAGGATCTGGGCTTTCTGGGTTGCCAGCAGGTTTCCTAAAAAAACCAAGATTCTGTGCTCAAATAAAGCCAGATTCTCCACAAAAAACGTCCATATAATAAATCAGTCTCAAACTAAATTATTTTTATCTATTTAATATATACAACATAATGCAACAAATAGAAAAATCTAGATTTCATTAAATTTTAAAATAAAAAAACCTAGAAACTCAACCAAGGACTGAAAAACTCAGAACCCAAAACCTATTACTGAAAACCCTGCATTCTCTCAAACATACAAAATGATCTTTAAAAAGGGAGAATTTTTATGCAATTTATTTCCCTTTTGTGAAAAATAAGAATATAGAGAAGATATTTATCACTAGAGATAGTATGGCATTTGAAGTGGAACAGTGACCAAATGGGGTTTGCCCTTGTTTTCAACATACTGAACAGAAAACAGAAATAAGTATGAGAAGACTACTGTATATTACTTTCAAAGTGCTCTTGAGAGATTGGTGAATGCATTGAAAAGATCCTTAAAAATCTATTAGTCAAGTATTGTTTGAGTTGCATATTACTTTGAGGCAGCATATGGTAAGACACAAAGAAATAGGTTGTCATGATATTTCAAATTTGGGAGAGGTTAACGGTACTCAGGAATCCAAGTACAAACAAAGTGGTTTTAGTTAAAAAAAAAATAAAGCTTACTTCTTTTGGATCCTGCTTTAAAACCCATTTCACAGAGGTAAAATGATGAGAACCAGACAAATCACTTGAACAAGAGCCACAGGCCGTGCTTCTATATTATTCTGAGAACAATCCATTATTCATACCCTAGAACACAGCATAATATTGCTTCTGTATTTATTCTGACATTGGGAAATCCCAGTTTCAAATCATTGCTTGGTCATTAAATTCACCAATCTTTATAAAATCCCTAATCTGTAACAAATATAGATGCAGTTAGGGTTTTTTTACTGGAATAAAAACTATATCTTATATTTTGTAAAAGAATATTTATAGAATGTAGCTTTATATGTATAAGCCCACATCAGTGAGTATTTATGCCCTATCTCACATTGTATTACCATTTCAAAGGATTGTACAATTCAGACTAGATTGCTTTAGGAAAGCTGTTCAATTCTGCATTCAAATCTGTGCAGGTATTGTTATCCAACTGGTAGTTAATTTAGCTGTATGTATATAATTCCAGAGCAGGTTCCTAAACACAGGCTACCTAGACACTAGGACTGGGACTGACCCAGAGATTCTCTTTATATAGCCAGCAGACCTTAACCATTAAAACTGGGCAAGTTTCTCATGCTGATGTTTTAAGTAAAAAACAAAAACAAGAAAACAAAAAAATCCCTCTGGTTAAAATAGTTACATCATAGCTTAAAGTGAAGTAAATTCTCTAATGTTCTCCAAGCCCAGTGCCTCCCCACCAATGTGTATGCTGTTCTCCCACCTCCTCTACAATTCTTAATTTCTATAATATTAAAAGAGATCCTCTTCCCAAGATTGCCAGTGCTCCTCCAATTCCAGGGGACAGGGAGAGTGAAAATCATGTTCACACAGCCTGCTAACCTGGGCTAACCTGTAGTTCAGCAAGTTTTCATATCCCACCCACTACCTTACGTGGTGTGAACGTTGTATGAATAAAGCAATCATATTATAGCATGCTTCGCTTATTTGGCATAATCAGTTTTATAACCCAGCAATTTTGCTTTGTTAATCCAGATTTAGAATGCTGTATAAATCTGTCCAGACAAGAAACATGACCAGATGAGCTAATTATACTTTATTGTAAGGTTACATTAGCAGAAACTTGCAAGTCTGAAAGTATATTTCTCCCATCTCTTTACAGCTCTAGGGGAATCTCTTCGGTCCCATCTACATTCCTGCTGAGGGCTAAGCTGCTTTTTAACCGAGTATTGTCTTTGTTGTGCCTTTCTGCCCGTCTCCCAAGGTCATTCCTCCATACCTTCACAGAACCCAATGATGAATTTGAAGGACACCCTCAGCGCTGGGATAAGCCCA